AAGATATGAACTGTTCCTTATCCTTCAGAACAACAATATTTCATTATCAACACTCACTTTCACAAACAGAATATACGTTGAAAGGTTACACCTGTTTATATAAAGGCCCATTATTGCTCTCTTACTCCGAAAGCACGCCTGGGCCAAGTTTAATCCTGTTTGATTTAGGCATTTGGAAAGGTCATGGCTTGGTTTTTCCTCCTGTTTCCCAGAACAAGAAGGCTTGAGAGATGAGTCAGTGTTTGCTCGCTATAGTCCGACCCAGCATGGATTTCACAAGAATGTGCAAATGCGTGTGGAGGCTCATCCCTGTATCTCTGCACATGTTTTTGAATGTTTTTTTTCAGTGTAACCCATAAACTGTTTTGCAAATTTCCAAAGCTTCCAATTTGTGTCTGCTTCCTCTGTACCTGTACAATAGTCTTCACTCATTCGTCGCTGTCTTGCAGCGCCCTCTTTTCTTCATGCATGATGACAGGTCCCACACACAAAACAACAACAAGCAAGTGAAAGAAAGGCACAAGCAGGAAGAGGCAGGACGGGCGGATGGGACAAAGACGGCTGAAAGGAGAGGTGGGAGTGAGATGAGGTCATAGTAAAAGGCGAGGCCCAGCCCACCTGACTCACAGAGGGCAGGTGTGTGTTTACAGCTACTCTGGGTGGGGCCGTGTTACAAACGTGTCTTCTCAAGCACAGGCTCATCATCACTGAGAGGACACATGCGCTCCCCACATCAAAAGAGCGGTTGGTTCTGTAACAAGATGGTCTGAGTGAATCATACCTGCTTTTCTAGTGGGGCTTTAAGTGTGTTAAAATACAGCTGTGGCGATCCTTCGGGAGCAAATCCAAATGCTGAACATTATCAAGATCAACAGCACTATGCTGTTTGCTTCAGTCCATTATCCATTTTTTTCTTGATTAGTAGTATTGTATTTTTGCCTCTTACCAGTTATAATGCCTCTTATAGTTCAAGGTAAAAGATGTTTGCAGGCAATACATGGATTTGTTCAGAAATAGATTTGTTCAAAAAGGCAATGATGTGGCTCACTACTGCAGAATTGATCCTGTTTGTTTTCCCATTGTTGCAGTTATCAGCAGAGGATTTATAGTTAAAGATCGTTTTTTGAAGATACGGATATTCTCCGTGTACCGACAGCCAGGAGCTGTGTCTTTCGACCAGGTGGTTTTGTCCAAGGTCTCTGCCTACTACCCTGCCCCTGTCCTCTCTGCCCCTGACCCTCATGAAGCCCTCTGCAGGTGAGGGCTGGCCCAAGTCATCAGTATACCCCTGGGTCCAGACTGGGTGTTGGCTGATCCTACCATGGGCAAAATTCCCAGGCACCTGATCTCCTGGGATAGTCTTTTTAATATTAGTTTGCATTAAATAGGCCAACAAATGAATAAATAAATAAATACATAAACGAATCAAAACACTCCCCACCTCCAACAATTAGCATTTCTGATAAGAAAGGAAAGATTATTTGTATAGCACAATTCATACACAAGGCAACTCAAAGTGCTGAGCATTAGAGGATGTTAGGTAACAGCAGAAAAGAGTGAGGGGTTCATGGCACTTTAAAAGGCTTTAAAAGAGTAATCATTGGCCAGACTTCATTGGCCTCCAAGCCGTGCACCAGCACCACTGTGGAGGCTGATTCCAATAACACTGCCAAAAGTGAGCATATACATGTTGAAAAGTACAGAACTTATCACTGAACCCAGGGGAACGCCACATGTGATTTCATGAATCCTAGAGGAGCATGTGTCCACACCATAAATATCCTGTCTGTGAACAGCATCAAAGGCAAAGTTATTATAGCTATAGAAGATAAAGGAAAAACAGTGCTTAGATCCGACAGGACCTACATAACAAATGCAAAACGTTAGTGATGCTCCCCCGCCCAGCTGACGGCACAAGATGATCCAAGTGCTGAAAAGTGCCGGAAACAAAAGCACAGTCCTCTGTTGATGTTTACGGGCTGACAGCTGTTTGTCCAGCCTGCATACCATACATTATTGAAAGGTCACCACCTCGAGTCACGGACAGACAAACTGGGAGCCAGGCTGTTAAGTGTTTTGGATCACATGTTCACAACAAGCACACTCTGCTGTTGAAATGATCCAGAAAACAAAAGTCTGTCCTTCATTCCCCTTGGCTGTTCCCTCTGCAGCTCACCTGTTCTTGAACACATTTGTCATTGTGAAAAAAGGGTTTGCGTTTATTTTATCAGAGATGTCGTCTCTATCTCAGTATTCCCTCCATGATAATGTTGAATTCTCGTCGCAGCTTATCTTGTAGTGCAGGCGCTAGTGGTGTGCCCTACTGAGACAATGACCTCCGCTCAAGGAAACTCTATGACCTTTCCATTTTTCTATATATTTTGATGGCCATGCTATGTTTACTTTTTTAACCATTGGACTGGGCAATTATTTTTCTTTTGGGGGAAGCATTGGGTTATCACCTGATTATGAAGGACCAGACACGTTTGGATGTGGTTCTTTTTTTCATTTAATTCATTTATTCTTCAGTATTAAAATGTAAAACATCTATTCATTGTGTTTGTGAACATTTTGTTCAGAGCAATTTAATACTGATAACATTTTGGGTTCATGAATTATAGCATGTAGCACATATTAATGCAAGCCTTCATTGAGTATTGACTCATTATTCATGTAAATAAGCAACATGAGGTTGTTTGAGGTTAACAACTGAGAAAGGTCCGGGGGCCACATAGAAATGTGAGTCAGGCCGGATTTGGCTCCCGGACCATACTTTACCCAGGTCTGTTCAAGAGTCTCCCGGCCACCCGTGACACTAACAGTACAGAACTGTGTGACATGATTTTATGGCATGATTCCAAAAACCTTTCAATGTATTGCACCAAATAATATGAATTAATATTGATAATTGCACAACATTTTTAGTTGTATTTGAAATTAGGAAAAACGGCACGGTGGCTGAGTGGATAGCACTCTCGCCTCTCAGCAAGAAGGTCCTGGGTTCGAATCCCGGTCGGACCAGGGCCTTTCTGAGTGGAGTTTGCATGTTCTCCCCGTGTCTGCGTAGGTTTCCTCCGGGTACTCCGGTTTCCCCTACCACTAAAAATATGTCCAATAGTTCTGGCATGTGCCTCCTGTACTGGCGACCCCGCTCCCATCTCTGTCTGGAGTGAGAGACAAATGCCCAAAATTAACAATTGTAAACCGCTTTGAGACTCAGATCTGCAGTGAAAAGGCGGTATATAAATAAAAACTTACTTACTTACTACTTACATCACAATCATTGATTATGTATATACAAAAAACAACAACAATGAATCGATCGCTTCTACTTACTTTGTGTGTTTGCATTGATGTGAGAAAGCAGCGTCTTGATTAAAACTGTCTGCAACATCATCCATTAATCATCAGAAGGAGATCTGTTTGAGTGTTTGGAGATAAATACTGAGAAAAATAATCTCAAACCCTAAACTGTCATACATGGGAAGCATTGACCATTATGTTATATTTCAATTAGAATGACTCTCAATTAGAATATAATATAATATATTAAACAAGAACCTGTCACTTGCCGTTAAAGACAAAACAAAAGACTCCCTTGACCCCCGGGTGAGGTCATAACGGTGTGTCTGTGTTCTATACATAAATACTGGCAGGTAATAAACAAGCTTGTGTGGGCAGGGCTTAAACATGGAGGACTGAGGGGGGAGGGGTCGCCTCATTTGGGAATTACCACTATATGGATGATCGCAGCTGAACGGGGAAAGGCCAGATAAATAAATAATTACACAAAGACACGGGCAAGAGGAATAATGTAGGCGTGGAAAATGAAGTCAATATTTAGCTCAGAGAAATATTTTCAAGCTAGTTAACGTTATAATGAGCCATTAGTTTAATTGACAGCCATAACAAACAAACAAAAGCCTGGTGCTGCATCATCTCCAGTGTCGGTAATGAAAGCTGCTTGTCTTCACTGTGGACATTGACACTGTCTGGATGTGGGCCATCACTTTGCTTCAATCAATCTAATGTGAAGGGCTATGGGAGCTTGACAGGCATCTCTGGTCCCTCCCCCACGTGCTCATAAACAAACACACGCGGAGCACCCCCCAGGTGGTCCCTATCACCGCATTGAGAGAAGCATCACTCAAGGGTGGATCAAAAGAGAGCCGCTGTCAGGCATGGCTCCTCTTCTCTTCCCACCATTCTTCCACAAGTCCCCTGCCTCAGTTGGGCTTTGAACCAGGTCTGTCCTCTTTACCCTCCCACCACATCACCAGCACCCGTTCCAGGGGAAACCCAGACAGGCCCAAGGGTGCTCCCAGACCTCATCCTTCACCTTTTGCTCTTCCTGCTGGGGACAAATAGGTTCCTCAGCACTAGTGGTTTGACTGATGACCTTTCACAGGAACATGCATTAGAATATGTCGGAGTTATTTCCAATGAAAGAGTAAAACATCTGCTCAATGATTCCAGAAAATTTCCAAAGAAATATGATTAATGGCTGGTGTTGACATTGGATGAACTCCAGGGTGTTTCCATGAAAGCACATAACGGTAAATACGGACGTTATCATCCAGCCCTTTTGCATACACTTGCACTCCTCCAGATATATGCTTGTCACAATAATTCCAGATGGTTTTAGCTGTTGCAGACATTTATTGTTGTGTGGGAGGTGTCCAAACCATTACATGCTGCATAGTTTGTGGTGTTTTCTAATTCAAAACATGTGTTCATACATTTTCTTCATTCAAAGGCCAGACCTGATGTGCGTTCATAAATCCACATAAATGATAATGCTTTGTCCGATAGATCATATTTGATTTATTTTTGCTTCAAAAAAGTGTTGCGGGGTCAAAGACCTCATCACTGTCCTGGTCTCCGGGGAACCAATCAGAGGCCTTTGCTGAAGGAGCCGGAGAGTCCCTGCTTTAATGACCGCCCTGCAGTCCATCACACACAGACACACACACAAACAATACGGCCAGACGACCCCGAGTTTAGACGCGCTCACATCTGGGGATAGCCTTTTCTGTTTTCTGTAATGAAAAAAACATGAAATAATGGAATAAACTGAATTATAAAGCATTTTCAAGAGCGAGCACACCTCTCTGGCTCGTCGATGGCCCTTCTTAATCACCGCCAACCTAAATACAGCATCTGGAGTTCAATCTCATCATAACGGCCATTACTCTGGAAAACAATAGAAGTGGATAGGACCACAAATGTCATCACAAGTACTTAGCGACTAAACTAATTGAATTAGACTTGCATTGCCTTGCTTTTATTTTGAGGCAGAAGACACGTGACATGTTAAATGTTGTACCGTTCAGAGATTGTGGTAAAGTGCCCTCGGGCTTACACATAAATACGTGGCTACTATTGTTCACCAACACTGTCAACAACCAGTAGTCACTTATGGAGAGAGACAGATAGATAGATAGGGGCCGAGAGCTGAAAACAAATGGAATATTTTTGTTTAACATGGCTTTCAGTTTTGTGGATATTATCTGCACAATATTATTTCTGGCTGGATCAAAGCTGGACCAAAGATGAATAAAGAGTTGATTAATATTGTAAGCCGATTATATTTATTTTATTCAACTATTACTAATCGGATTTTAGAATTATGTCACTTATATGGCTGTTTTTTTATGAGAAAATGTACTTTAAAGTGATGTTTCACATGCAGTTGTAGCCCTGCTAACTCCTCACCATCAATGCTGAGAGTAAGAATGAGTTGTGTTTGAACGGTTTAATTCTCTCCGATCTGAGTTCAACGGTTGTGTAAAGTCCTCTGAGATAACTACTGTTGCGATTAAGGGCTAAACAAGAATACATTGAATTGAATTGAAGTAATTGAAGGAACACAAGTGTTACTGCAACCTCTCCCACTCTCCCTGACTCAGGTTGCCAGATATGCAGACGAATCCAGCTGGGACCATACAATCTGAATAGTCAAGAGTTTTGTCAACAACATATCTATAACCAACACCTTTTTTTTTTTTTACAAAGGCCCCGATAGAAATCCTGGTTTTATTCCTTGTTTTGTCATTAATGATTTGAGAATCATAACAAGACTTTTTTTTAGTACAGTGGCCACATGTTACTTTACCAGTCAGATTAGCTCGACACGGTGAGTTCTGGCAACCCAGGTCAAGGACTTTCTGATTGGTAAAACGGTGAAGGGCGGGACATCGAAATGAAAACAATAACAAATATCTTAGCTGAACTATTGTAATCAGTTAACGAAGTATTGAAAAAGAGCATGGTTTATTAATACCTTTTGACACATTAGGGACATTTAATGATGACTTGACATGAAAATCTTACATATTGCTACTTTAATAATAATAATTGTCAATCATTTCAGGTACCAACCAGTCACTCTAATGTTGTTCTCTATTTACGATGCTATAAAACACAGTCATAGCAAGTCTCTAACAGTAATAGTAAGCAATAGTAATTGCATCATTGTGAGTAATTATGCAAAAAAAAAAAAAATCAGTAATATAACTTGCCCTGTGTTATCCCCAGGCTCTGCAGGCGGGACAGCTGTACATGAACACATAGCCTGAAATGGAAAAAGAGGAGCGGGTGCAGTGTGTTGACTTGGACCAATAACAAACTAGTCCACTTATCCAAGGAGCAGGACGCATCACTACAAGCCTAATGAAAAACAGAGACATGGGGCACTCAACTGGATGGTGCAATATTTCCAACAGAAATCCCAGCTTGATCCCTCACAATTTCTCGAGATTTGATTTGATAGTGATAGTTTTCTCTCCCTCTCTTTCTCTCTCTCTCTCTTTGAGAATGAGCAGCGCAACAACACATTCCTGTCCACATTCCAGCCTGAGGAAAAACAGTGTCCGGAACATAATAAAAGGCCAAGTACGTCATGTGTTTTGAAAGGCACTGAGCGGCGGCGCTTACGGCTGCATTGGGCCGATGTGACAGTGAGAGTTGTGGTCTGTCTGTTTTGCTCTTCTAATGGCGAAAAAACAAACTCCTGAAAAGCAAAAGTCAAATCAATAAGCCACTTTATTTTTATGGCATTGTTATTCAGCGGACAGAGAAAATAAGTGGTACATTGTGACCCTCTAAGGAATCTGCAGTCTAAATACACCCTGCGAGTGACTGTATAATTACCAGGAGATGGGAGATAAAAGCAGCGGCACTTTGTAGTGTGTTGTGGATACCGCCTTAAACACAAAGCTTTGATAAGAGGCCAAGCAAACAGCAGGACAGTACACTGCAAAAAGTGATGAAAAATAAGTCAAAAATTGCAACAAAATTAAATATGTAAATCAGTGTCTTAATTCAGGCACATTTTGACTGCTTTAAAAAAAGATGTGGCAATGGGACTGGCAAAATAATCTTAGATCTTTTTGCAGTCTAATGTGTACGTGTGTTTATGTGTGTGTGTGTAAGAGGAGTTGTTTGTGTGCGGGACAGGAGGTTGAAGGTCAGGCCGCTCGTAATGGACTGTTGTGGTTGTCGTCCAGAGAGCCTCTTGACCTCCACTTCCTGTCCACCACAATCTCGCTCTCTCCTCTCATCTCCACAAATGTGACTTTGAGTGATTTTAGTGTTACACCTCCAGACTGACACTTCCCATCGCTCAGGCTATTCTTGTCTTTTAATCCATCCACTTCACTGCATATGAGCTGCTGCCTATAACTTTCTCTTGAGATGTATTGTAAGTGATACGACGAGCTTCCGACCCGCCAATCTATATCAGCAACTCATCTGGAGTCCACTGCCGGTCCCCTCCGCTCGTCGGGAAGCTAATAATCTCCTTCCTGTATGGGACAGAGGACATGTCAGGGCGGTGCGGTGCAGGACACGTGTAAGCACAAGCGCGTGAACAATGATTATTCAGGCTGAACGGAAGTCATAAAGACTTCCTCTGATGGCTATCGGCTCAGACGCAGGGACAGACAGAGAGCACCGCCATGGGCAACACAGAGCTGAGCTGACACTCAAACAGCTCAAGACACTTCCACATACCAGACACATAATGTTCAAATGTCACTAAATGTCAGTCAAAGTCAGACACAATCCATGTTTAATGCTTACACACAGGAAGTATGCCTCAGGTCATTGATGGGATCCATGAGAAGCAAAAGTGCAGCAAGTACATTTTCACATTGAGCAATTTTTGGTTTGTCTCGTGTCTATTTGTCTCTTTTGATGTTTTACATAATAAATTATTTAATTCTATTTACTTTTTAAAGGGCAAAATCACAACAAGAGTCGTATTTGAGACTTTACAAACTCAATTTGCCGATACAGACCACCAGTGGTTTGTTGGGGTTGGAAGACCAAGGTCCACAAATGTAAAAACATTTCCATAAATGTCCTTCGATATCCTGGATCATCACCAGTGAAAACCCATTGGAAAAAAGTGTAAAACCACCGGGAGGCCCATATTGGGAGAGGGAGCTGCTCCCACGGGGGCGCGGGGTATAGATCCAGAACCCAGGGAGCACAAAGTATCTTTTGTGCAAGTCCAGGAAGTCTCGACAATGAAAATGCAGGTGAAGAAAATTGTAATATTATTATAAGTCCATTTACTTCTAGTTCAACTTACAATGTGAAACTAATATACAACATGTTAGATATGTCAAGAGAGTAGTATTCTTATAATAATAATTACCCGAAACCCGAAAGGAGATACCATTTTAGATTCATGTTTTGTTTATTAATTAAATATTTGCTTTCTTTCACATCTCTGCGTGCTTACAAAGTGGGCATTAGCACCCATAACTCTCCTGGGATCCGCGGCAGTCAATGGAATGGACAAAGGGACGTCAGTGTACACACGCATTGGAGCTGCACATTGATTCAGATTCAGAATGATGAAGACCAAACTGTTGGATAATAGGCTCAAACAGTGACGGCTTTGTCAGAAGAACAGGAGCACCAGAAAGAGAGCGCAGATAAAGGTTATTCTAATGGAAAGATAATCATTTACCCACAATGTTGTCGTGGGAGACAAGGGTTGTGGAACAGATGAACTTGGATTGAAATGTAGATCTGCTTTACTTAACAATGACCTTTCCAGACGTCTGCTATTTGTTTTAATATCGAGCGGGTAATGGAAGTCACAGCAAGCTGATGAATGAACGTGGTGACCCCCAAAATCGACAAGGAAGAAATATAAGTAAAAAGAGAGAAGGTGTGGGTGCTATTGGCCTCTCTGATGATCATAACACATTCAGTCACTATGTTTACAGCTTCAGAAAACTCACAATGGACAAAAGCAACTAAACAAAGCCTTGGGTCCATAAACTGTGATCGAAATGTGTTGTTACAAAAGAAATGTTCCACCAGAAACCCAAACACAACCACATGCAGCCTTTCTGAATTACATCGCAGAACATAAATGATATACTAGAATAATGCAAGAATATACAAACTCAAAAAACAAAGCTACATTCCAGGTTGTAAGTTTGAAAACATTCTGTGCATATTACTTCTAACATTATTTTATTGTAGAGCCCTAAATTACACAACAGCAGTCCCCCCAGAGGACCAACACAAATCAGAGAATGAAACTGTTTGAACACAAGAAATGCAATCATGAACTAATGTCCATAAATGTTGATAAATGTCCTTAAATGTCGTTAAATATCCTGCATCATCAAGTGCATTACTGTTTGGTTAAAAACAATCCCACATGCCTATCACCTGTCAACCATAACGACCACCGCTCCCAGTGAAGAGAAAACACTGGAGATACTATAATAATACAACAGTAAAAGAACAAGAGCACAATAGATAATAATATCAATATTTAATAATAAAAAATCAAATAATACATGAAGCGTGTCTAATAAATAAATAATAGAATATATAAAATGACCCCAACCCACACAGACAGATATATAGATAAAAACAGTAATAGTAATAATACATGGGCAAAGGGGTAAAAAATGGACGGCTGTATAAAATGCAATAAGAAACATGACTCCCAAGTGAATCTAAAAAGGTGTGTCTTACAAACGTGAAAGTTCTCTGCAGCTCTGAGCTCCTCCGGCTGCTGTTCCATAAACAGAAGCCATAATGCTGGATACACACAAACTCCCCACAGAAAGACCCGGGCCGGCACAGGACCAAAACTTGTGACTTACTGGCTGTGAGCCATGAGCGTGTTATGGCAAGCTGGTTAGCCTCAAGGACGCCAACTCACCCCCCCCGCTGCTCTATTCAATTAACCTGCAGGAAGGAGCCGGGCTCCCCCCTGCACCGACAGACAATGACGGAAATTACTATCTCACCCTTGCCCCTTTTGCATCTTGCATCTCTATCGGTCCGTATGTCTGCATCTCTATCGACCTTTTACATCCTGCATGTCTATTGTCCCTCTGTTTGCATCCCCATGGCACAATCTGATTGTCTCTCACCAGGCATGGCGCCTCGCCATCCGGATGCCCGTCTCAAACTGTGGCCCCCTCCCATCTTTTGTGGGCGTGACTGTCTTTCATGTGTTGTCTATGTAAACAGGGACCTGTGTCTGGCCCCGCCAGAGCTGATGTACGCTGCTTTTGTGTATGTGAGCTCTCCGCACGTGTGTTACAATAAACTTACGCTCCTGATTAAGACAAATACCTTTCGAGCTGTTTCCTTACTGTGGATAGAAACTTCTATAACAATTTGGCGTTGCTGACACGTTCTATGTCGGATTTTTTTTTCGGCGTGGAGACGATTGTGTGTTGTTTGGCCGACCTGGGACAAAAAACCAGCCTCCCTACCTCACTTAGCGTTTGACGAGAAGCAGGAGGGACACCGCTCGCCTCGCGCAGGAAAAACTATTCGACTACAGGACCATAAAAGAACCTGATTTGGTGAGTTTTGTCTTTTCATTTGCGTAACAAGCCCAGGGCAGCACTTAAGTGTACACGGGGATTTGATTTATTTACGTATTTTTGGGGTATTTCATTCATTGCCACAGCATAGACTGTGTGCGGGATTTTTGGGGTATTTTGTTCTAGATTTAAGCTAGCGGCTGCGTGTTAGTATCGCTCTGTAAGCGACCCTGAAGAGATCTCTAGTGCCTTCAGCCAGGCCCGGTCCGTTTCAAGAACGCGCGCTCGTTGGGTATATTGAACCAACGGGGGGGGAACGGATCGCTCCAAAGTGAGTAAGAGCAGGGAGAGACTAAACGAGGCTAGGCCCATTGTTCTGTACGAGAAAATGGGGAAAAATCAATCTAGAGATGCCACACCGAGGGGAATGTTGACGTCCCCCGTTACAATGGCAATGGAAAAACGGTTCGGATCTAAAGCTATGGAGTGCTTGCCTATATGGTGCAGTTCATTTGGCTTTCCCGATGGAGGCTCTATGTCTTTGAATCAATTACGCATCTTGCGTGATAATTTAGAAGAAGAAAGGGAAAAAATACTTGGTTTTAAGAAAATTACAGCAGAAGACGTTAGGGCCATACTGAAACACCAGACCTGTCTTGCCATGTGGGAGGATTTAGCTACAGAACGGGACCGCAAAAAGACGAATAAAGCCATAGCTGCTCCGCCTTCCACGGAAGGGGGGGACGCACAGGCGGACACACAGGCGGACACACACACACACACACATCCCACACACCCCCCACCCTATCGCCCTTTCTCACCTACTAACCCATTCACAGAAGGAGCAGAACTCCATGCTAAGTACGCGCCCAAGCAAAGCGCTGTGTTAAAAAATGTGCAGACTACTGTTGTGCCCTCTCTCTCTCTCTACCCAGATTTGTCCACGCTTTCCTCCGTGGCCCCGCTGTATGAAACTGGCCCCTGTCCTACGCCTGAAACACCGCCGCGCCAGAGCCAACCACGTCAGTGCCTCCCAAAGCCTCTCGCATCTGCTGACGCCCCACAGGAAGTGGCCCCCGCGCTGTCAGCAGCAGAAGGAGAAGCACCAGAAGCAGAGCCGCGATGGAGCAGGGAAACGCTCCGGCGGGAACCGAGGCCCACAAATCACTTCGTCGCCACTTTCCCCATGATAGAGATGGTGGGCCGAGAAGGACCGGCGCTGGTCTTCAGACCCTGGGGGCCGAGCGAGTTTCTATCCGCTTCGCAACTGCTGTCTACACGGCCAGAGACAAACTGCTCAAAATTCAGCGAAGACCTGCTCGCTTTCTGTCGCGAATACAAGCCCTCAGGAGCGGAGTGCGCTCGGGTTCTCGTTTACAAGATGTCGCCTGCGGACTTTGGGAAATTTAAGCCATATTTGCCAGAGCCAGGACTACGGGCTAAAGAGATTGTGGAGTCAGACTCCGGAGCATATTTGACTGCCATAAAGAAAATGTGTGACGGGCTGGCAGCAGTTTTTCCACGCAAATATGACCTAACCATCCTGTCTAAATGCAAGCAGGAAAAAGGCGAAAGGGTCGAGGAGTACTCCGAGAGCCGGACCAGTGCCAGCAGCAACACCATTGGCACCAGGCACAACAGAGTCAATACGGACAACAGCACCGCTATGAAGGCTCACAACACGGCAACCACCAGATGCGCCACGAGGCGGACTGACTAGGCGGGGACAGACAGCGGGCTGGCGGTGA